GCCAGCGTCGTGCCGTTCGCGCTCAGCGCCACCGAGTAGCCTGAGTAGTCGTCCGCGGCCTCGCCGTCGATGTCGCCGCCGCGCTGAATCCACGTCTTGTCGACGGGGTCCCACGCGAACACGCGCGCGTGGCCCGCGTTGGAGCCGGCGCCGTCGTTGTAGCGCGCCCCGACGGCCAGCGTCGTGCCGTCCGCGCTCAGCGACACCGATTGGCCCGACTCGTCGTACGCGGCCTCGCCGTCGATGTCGCCGCCGCGCTGCTTCCACGTCTCGTCGACGGGGTCCCACGCGAACACGCGCGCGTGGCCCGCGTAGTAGCCGGCGCCGCCGTTGTAGGGCGCCCCGACGGCCAGCGCCGCGCCGTCCGCGCTCAGCGACACCGAGATGCCCGAGAGGTCGCCCCAGGCCTCACCGTCGATGTCGTCGCCACGCTGCTTCCACGTCTCGTCGACGGGGTCCCACGCGAACACGCGCGCGTGGCCCGCGTTGGAGCCGGCGCCGTCGTTCTCGTACGCCCCGACGGCCAGCGCCGCGCCGTCCGCGCTCAGCGACACCGAGTAGCCCGAGTAGTCGTCCGCGGCCTCGCCGTCGATGTCGTCGCCGCGCTGAATCCACGTATCGTCGACGGAGTCCCACGCGAACACGCGCGCGTGACCCGCGTTGGAGCCGGCGCCGTCGTTGTAGTCCGCCCCGACGGCCAGCATCGTGCCGTCCGCACTCAGCGATACCGACCAGCCCGACCAGTCGTCTGCGGCCTCGCCGTCGATGTCGCCGCCGCGCTGCTTCCACGTCTCCTCGACGGAGTCCCACGCAAACACGCGCGCGTGGCCCGCGTCGGTGCCGCCGCCGTCGTTGTAGTGCGCCCCGACGGCCAGCGTCGTGCCGTCCGCGCTGAGCGACACCGAGTAGCCCGACCAGTCGTACGCCGCCTCGCCGTCGATGTCGTCGCCGCGCTGCTTCCACGTCTCGTCGACGGGGTCCCACGCGAACACGCGCGCGTGGCCCGCGCTGTCGCCGGCGCCGTCGTTTCCGGACGCCCCGACGGCCAGCGTCATGCCGTCCGCACTCAGCGACACCGAGATGCCCGAGAGGTCACCCGCGGCCTCGCCGTCGATGTCGTCGCCGCGCTGAACCCACACCGCGGGCGTCGGAGAGACCGACGGCGCGGGCGTCGGGCTGGTCGTGGGGGCGGCCGTCGGGCTGGTCGTGGGAGCCGAGGTCGGCGCGCCCGTGGGGGCGGCCGTCGGGCTGGTCGTGGGAGCCGAGGTCGGCGCGCCCGTGGGGGCGGCCGTCGGGCTGGTCGTGGGGGCGGCCGTCGGGCTGGTCGTGGGAGCCGAGGTCGGCGCGCCCGTGGGGGCGGCCGTCGGGCTGGTCGTGGGAGCCGAGGTCGGCGCGCCCGTGGGGGCGGCCGTCGGGCTGGTCGTGGGAGCCGAGGTCGGCGCGCCCGTGGGGGCGGCCGTCGGGCTGGTCGTGGGAGCCGAGGTCGGCAGGCCCGTGGGCGCGGCCGACGGGTCGGCCGTGGGCAGGTCCGTGGGCAGGTCCGTGGGCAGGCCCGTGGGCAGGCCCGTGGGCAGGCCCGTGGGCGCGGTCGTCGGGCCCGCCGTCGGGTCGCCCGTGGGCAGGCCCGTGGGCAGGCCCGTGGGATCGGCCGTCGGGCCCGCAGTGGGCAGGCCCGTGGGCAGGCCCGTGGGCAAGCCCGTGGGCAGGCCCGTGGGCGCGGCCGTCGGGTCCGCCGTCGGGTCGCCCGTGGGCAGGCCCGTAGGCGCGGTCGTCGGGTCCGCCGTCGGGTCGCCCGTGGGCAGGCCCGTGGGCAGGCCCGTGGGCAGGCCCGTGGGCAGGCCCGTGGGCAGGCCCGTGGGCGCGGCCGTCGGGTCCGCCGTCGGGTCGCCCGTCGGCGCGGCCGACGGGTCGGCCGTCGGCACGGCCGTGGGCCCGGCCGACGGGTCGGCTGTGGGCCTGGCCGTGGGCAGGTCCGTGGGCAGGTCCGTGGGCAGGTCCGTGGGCAGGTCCGTGGGCAGGTCTGTGGGGACGGGCAAGACGAGGGCCGTGGGCTTGGCCGTGGGCAGATCCGTGGGCAGGTCCGTGGGCAGGTCCGTGGGCTTGGCCGTGGGCTCGGCCGTGAGCTCCATCTCGAAGGAGGCGTCGCCGTCGGTGACGGCTCCGGCGTCGGCGACGGAGCGCTTCTTCCGGCACTGCTTGTCCTTCCACTCGCAGCCCTTCTTGCTGGTCCTGCGCGACGGCTTGCAGTCCCGCTTCGCGTCGATCTCCTTGCACTTGACCTTGCGGCACTTCGTCTTCTTGTAGCTCCACTTGCAGAAGTTGTGGTACTTGGACTTGTGGCACTTCTTCTTGGAGGCGAGCGACGCGCACGCCTTGCGCTTGCCCTTGCACTTCTTCTTGTGGTGGATCCAGGAGCACGTGTCCTTGTTCGCGGCGTTCTTGCACTCCTTGCGCTTCTTGATGGCGGCGCAGAACTTCCGCGCCGCGAGGTTGCGGTGGTACTTGGACGACTTGCGGCCGAGCTTGGAGTGCTCGCCCGCGACGATGCCGTCGCGCTTGGAGTGCTCGCCCGCGACGATGCCGTCGAGCTTGGAGTGCTCGCCCGCGACGATGCGGTCGAGCGTGGAGGACTCGCGCTCGAGCTTGGACAGCTCGGTCGCGAAGAAAGCGTGAACAACCGACGAGACCATCGGCGGCAGGTCCTTGACCAATGCCGATTCCTCGACCAGGCCGGCCTTGCTTGCCGCGGGCTCCGCGGTCGGCTTCTTGTCCAGCTTGACGCCCCCCGCCGCCGTGGCGAAGGTGAAGGCGCAGGAAAGTACGGTCGCGCGGATGATGACGTGCATGGTCGAGATTGCGGGTGCCTGCGGGGGAATCGACGCGGTTCCGCGGCGACGATCGACGGACGAGGCGCGCGAATCAGGGGTTGAAGACCATTCAGGCACGTCCGCCGACGGCCGGGAGGCCGGCCGCCGGCCGCGCCGCGCAAGAGCGAGTCGCTCTTCGCCGTCGTCGAGGTGCCCGCCGCGGACCACGCCGCCGGCGGGCGACGAGGTCGGAGGCCGGGCTTGCATGCGCTTGACGTGCACCGAGGACTCGAAGACGTAGCGGAGCGGGTCCCGGCGCGCCGGCCGCCGGCCGCGCCGCGCAAGAGCGAGTCGCTCTTCGCCGTCGTCGAGGTGCCCGCCGCGGATCACGCCGCCGGCGGGCGACGAGGTCGGAGGCCGGGCTTGCATGCGCTTGACGTGCACCGAGGACTCGAAGACGTAGCGGAGCGGGTCCCGGCGCGCCGGCCGCCGGCCGCGCCGCGCAAGAGCGAGTCGCTCTTCGCCGTCGTCGAGGTGCCCGCCGCGGACCACGCCGCCGGCGGGCCGCGAGGTCGGAGGGCGGGCTTGCATGCGCTTGACGTGCACCGAGGACTCGAA